TAGTTTAAATATTTATATTATTCATTTTTTAGTCTTCAGTTTCTTCTTCTCTTCTCAGTTTAATCTTTTTTTCTTAAATATATTTATTTAAATGCATTTTTTGCAATTAGCAATAAAGTTAATAATTTCATTTATACTTACTTGTTGAGCAAGCTCGCGAGTTGGTGCTAGAATCAAAGCTTGACATTCTTTAATGGTAGTATCAATTTGTTGTAAAATAGAAATTGAAAATGTAGCAGTCTTGCCAGTTCCTGTTGAATATTCCATCAATTAAAAATTTTATTTTGTTATTTTTAGCAAATAAAATATAAATTTTTTTTACCTGACTGTGCCTGCGCAATCACATCGTGTCCTCTTATACATGGTAGAATGGCACGCTGTTGAATTGCAGAAGGTTTTTCAAAACCATAAGCATAAATACCACGTAATAATTCCTCTTTCAGATTCATTTCATCAAAGTTGTCAACGACCTAATATATATTAAAAAAATATATAATACAAAAATATTATAACAAATTTTTGAAAAATTTAAATTAAATTATGATATTTAATTTTTCATTTTAAAATAAAAAATATATCATAATTATTAACTTACAACATCCCAATTTGATTCAATGATTCCATCAGGCTCCATACCAGGAGGGCCATCATATGTTTGTTGATCACTTTCACTTGGACCATTTTTGGAATCTCCTGCCCATTGATCATCGTTTCTGAAATATAAATAATGAATTATATAAAAAAATTTATTTATATTTAAATATATAATTTAAATTTATTTATAAAATATTTATTGTTTTTAAATGTTATAGCAAAAATTAATACATATAATTTCAATACATTGACTTTCAAATTATACGTTTACTATAAAATAATAAAAGCAAAATGATATAAATAATTTTCTATTTTAACGACCTTGAAACATAAAATTCAACATCATAGTATATCAATTTTGTAATAAATATTATAAGGCATTTCAATTTAAGAATATCGAGAAGTAATCAATATCGAATAAACATAATAATTAAAATAGATTATTAAATAGATAACGAATTTATCGATGACTTGATAGATACGTTGACAGTGACTCACGCAAAAGCATGCCCGAACAAGTAAAACGTGTTTTCATTATAAGATATATAATATAAATAATTTTATGTAGTATTTCGAACAGTGTTTATTTTACTTTGTTTTTTCTGTCAAAACTAAAGAAAATTTATTTTTTATTACGTAATTTCAAATGCAAAGTAAAACGTGTTTGCATGACGAGTAGTATTTAATTCTTATAATAAAGATTAAAATATATTTTTGACAAGTTTTACTATTCGCCATGTAAATAATTGTTATGATTCCTAATCACAACAATAGCGAGGTTATAAAAAGAAGTAGAAATAAGAGATTAACATTAATTTTGCGAACAATGTGACAAAAACGAATGCACGCCATGTTGTCAGTCTCGTGTCCATGCATTAGCTGATTGCCGCACTATTTTTTAAGAATATATCATTAAGTGTCGACGTCTAACCGTACACAACGTAAGATTTACAGAAACATAACATAAACAAAAAATTTATGAAATATAAAAAAGCATGCATATTTTTTAATTACGTGTGAAAAACCGAACTTACCTTCGCTCAGACGTATGCGACATGTTCCGCTCACGGTAGGTCGACGGAAAGGACGAGTTCCTATTGCGTCACAAGGAATATTCTTATGAATGCCGCACAACGGCGCTGCAAACAGTCTTCAAATTTTCAATGAACTTTTCTTATAACTGAACACATAAAAAATACTCAAAAGAATTCGAACGTTTTGGAATATAAACTTTTAAGAACATATAATAGCTTTTTATACAATTTTTTGGTTTTTATTATATTTGTTTCTTCAAATACTTATTGCGCATAAGGGAAGTACGTCAATTACCCACAATCCTTTGCGATCTTATAGTGGGGTGTGTGAGGCAAATACAAATATATTGTCGATCATGTATACACATCTATTTTACGTTTCTAATTTTTTTAAAAACAATTCGAACTTATTTATTAAAATATATTTTTCTTATTTCAAATAATTTTATTTTTATTATTTATTATACTAAGTAAATTTTCTAGTTGCTATAAAGATTCCAAATGTTTTTTTCTATGTTGAATGTGTTTTTTTTCTATATTAAATGTTTGAAGCTTTAATACTAATTTCAAATAATTAAAATAATATATAATCAAAGAATGAAAAATTTGATAATTTTATTACAAATGATAAATATAATTGTTAAACTTAATATAAGTAAATTAAAATTTTATGATTGAAATACTTTTATTGTTATTTTGAATTAATAATTTTATAATATATTATTTTATAATATATATAATATATATTTATATATTTTTTTATAATAGATGTGCAGATGTGCAGATAATAGAAAATAATAGATATATATAAAATATTATAAGATAATAGATATTAAAAGATAATAGATATATATAAATTATAATTTTCGATTTTAAATTATTTTCTAAGATATTTTAATAAAATTATGTGCGAATAAATATTTACTAATAGAAATACATATTTCATAATATATATAATATTTACAAAATAAATTCAATAACATAAAGATTATTATAATGATAAGTGCAACTATCTTATAAAAGAATTCTAAAATTATTGCGAAATATTTGCAATAAATAAATTCACAACTAAATTATATACATAATATCTTATATTATATTGTTATTATTATATCAATGGGCTCAAATTCGAAAAAAAACATAATTAAATATTGAGAAAATAATAAAAAAATATGAAAAGCTATCTTGTTTTTGTAATTTGATATATCGTACGTATATATTCGTGAATATATTATAACTGAATATATTTTATATATATAATATATATAACATAATATTATAGAATATATACTATCATTTATTTATATTCTTCCAGTTTTAAATCAAATATAATTTGATAAATATAATGTAAATAAATTTACATCATACATTGTGTTCCAGATAAAATATAATAATTTATATCACATTTTTAATATTATCTTTGATTGTGTATCAAAATTTCATTAAAAATTTCAATGCTTATTCAAAAATAAATGAAATGAAATACTTTCTTATTTTTTCGAAATTTCTGACATTAAGACATAGAATTCTCTTAGATTTAGATTGATATAACATTTATTTTCTTTTCTTTCTATATCAAATATAAATAAATTTAAAAAATTTTGACAAAAATAAAAAAATTTGAGATTTTTCCAAGTTCATATATTTTCTATTACTTAGAAGTTTCGAATGTGAACTGTATTCAACAGCAACGTATAATAGTTTCATCAGTATTACAAAAAATTTTATTAGAAGTCAAATATGTTAATATTATTCTGATACTGTCGGTAACTATCGATGTTATCACAAATTAAGAATCATCAATGAGGAGCGTTTTAATTATATAGTGCTGTACAAATTAAAAAAATTAATTTATAATGTAAAAAATAAATTTATTGATAATTAATATTGCATATAGAACAATATTTATATTATAAATTTAGCATTTCTTTGCAAAATATTTCTTTTTCGTTTGACGATAATTTATGAATATTTATGAAAGAAATTGATTATCAAAAAAACAAAATCAATAAAATAGTTGTAGTAACAACAAAAAATATTTAATGTAAATAGATATGCAAATTTCTTTCGCTTTTATGATAAATATTTTATCATTGTTATCACGAATATTTTGTTAATTTGAAAATTTTTCTTAACATATTATCATATAATTTATATTATACTTATAAACTAATGGTTTGAATAGAAAACTTAACATGTATATATATATGTAAGTATCTATAAAATATGAATATTGATAATATATAATTATATACATATAATTTACATAAGTTCCTATAGTAATTTTATAAGATTAATACTAATTTAATTAAAAATAATTACATGTAATATATATACATATAATTATTTATATTATTATAAATACATAAATATTTCTATACAAAATATTTTTGTATCCATTTGTTTTAAAATCTTTATCAGGTGATATGATAATTTATGATTTGAATCATTACAATTCAAATATTTACAATAATATTATTATGCATATATTGATTTGATAATATATACATATATATAAGATACAGAATATGTATCATATTTCACATAAAAGCACAAGCAAGAATAAAAAATAATACTGCAACAGGAAAAATTATATATACTTCCATACGTGGATGACAAATTGATAAAAGTAAATTAGCTTCATTCATTTCATATTCAAAATCATCTTTAGTTGGTATTTCAACAATTACCCTATCAGAAGATAATAAATTTATTGAAAAGGAACAATTTGTTTGATTTATACAAGACTTTGTTATATTTTCATAATGAAAAACAGGTTTATAGATATCAAATAGTGCATATATGTCATTTGATACAATATCATTATCACTATAAAAAATATAGTAATAATAACCATTTTCTACAACATTATGTACTGCCTGCATATGTTTACTATTAAGTAAATAAGTAATATTAGTACATTGTTCAGAAGGTGTAAATTCTTGAGCTATTAAAATTGAGCCTCCATAACATTTAAATAAATCGGTTTCAAAACTGGATATGGAAGAATCATGATCAATATTTGTTGCATTTTTACCTGCATTTCCACCATGTTTCACACCTTGATCAAGTAAAAAAGTTGGTTTAACAATTTCTTGGTTTCTGATTCTTCTTTTTAATATTTTATCCTGCATGTTCATTTTTTTTTTAATATTATCTTCAATATTATCTTCTAAATTTAATTTGTTTTGCAACTTTTTTAAAACTAAAAAATTATGTTTTTCATTTTTATATTTTTTAAGATAAGATTTGATTTTAGTTTTTTTTTGTATTTTTTTTTTTTCCTGTAATATTCTATTTTTTCTTATTTCTTTTACTTGTTCTTTATATTGTTTTTTCTTAATATGTCTTAATTTTCTAATACCATATATATTTTTTTTTTGTATAGATTTTATATAATGTTGAATATTTTCGTTCTGTATTAATTTTTTTGATTCCTTGTCATGATTTTTTTCATAAGATATATGATTGATTCCTGAATATGAAGTAATATTCCATAACAATTTATCTTCTATATTATTTAATGTATTATTATAAATGACTTGTGTAATATTATTGCTGGAATTAATTTCTTCTGTATTTGATTTAAATGTTACTTTAACTTGTTCCTTAGCTTTCGGTAAAAATATACCTTTTAGAATTTGTGTATTATGATGTTCCAACATACCACATGTTCGTAAATTGCGTTCTCCTTTAACCACAACTATAGAAGCCCCTTGAAATCTAAGAAAATAATTATTACATATAAGAATATTAATATATCATAAAATTATACTATAATATTATATTACCTTGAACACACAGAAAGTGCTACACTTGCTCCTTTTAAAAGATAAAATCCCCAATATTCCAATGTATCATCTGGTAATATCATACTTTTTTTGAGACGAATATGTTTTCTATATGAAGTAATTTGTGGTTTTTGTGTCATTTGAAATGCATTAAATGTTCTATTCATTTGTAATGTGTGTGTCTATATAAATAATAATTTTATTATTAACAATAAGTTGCATATAATCTATACAAAATTTATTTAATTTATATAATTATTATTCAATTTTTAAATTTATATAAAATATATTTTTATATAAAATACAATTTATATTAAATTATATAAATATTTATATTAAATTTAATATTCAATTATATGTTTTATACATATAATATGTTCTTACAGAACAAAATATTGTAGAAATACCATCTGTAATTTCTAAGATATCAGAATCTGTTACAGCATATGCTACATTGGCATAGAAATTATGACGTAAATACAATGGTGTTATAAGAAATAAAATTGGTAATATAGTTGTTAATAAACAAAAGACTAATATTCTCTTGATTCCATGCATTTTTTATAAATCTAAAAAAAAAATCTAAATACTAATTGTTGTTAATTTTTATATTTTGTGTTATTATTAATCAACATATATTACATCATATATAAATCAGCAAGCATATGCTTAAAAAAGATAATATATGTATTATATTCTAATATCTAAATTTTAATTATCATTAAAATATGAACATATTATAATAATAAACAACAAATTATCCATTGCTGATGTTATTTATGTATAATCTTGCAATGTTTTTAATATATAATAATTTTTAAATTAAAATATCAAGAATTAATATATGATATAAATGTATTTGCATTATTATATATAAAATAATATATGTAATTTAATAATAATAATGAGTAATATATAATTTAAATGTCTGATAAAACAAAGTTGTAAATTTGATATCTAATTTCAAGTAACTATATTGTTATTTTAAAAAATTTTCAAAATTTATAATATTTAAATATTTTTAAAAATTTATATTTAAGTATTTTTGTATTTAAAATATTTCTATTAATATTTAATTAATTTTATAATTTTGTAATTATTTTGTAATTAATATAATTACAAATTAATTTTCTTATAAATTTTAATATTGTAAGAATATTACATTTATAAAGAAAAGAGGTTAAAGTATTATCAATGATAAAAATAAATTGTTTATATATACATGCATAATTTGATAAAAACCAAATCATATAATTCTGATTTGCTTATTATTTTAATATATGACATTTTCGATATTAATTACGCATGCGTTCTTCAACTCAATCATGAATATTGTTATAGCAAATAAAGAAATTAAAAAATATAATATTACATTAAGTGAATAAATATAAAAAAAAAATAAATAAGGGAATAAAAAATTACAAAAGTAAAAAAATATTCTATATTTTAAATTTAAAAATACTATATACAAAATTTTTTTGTTTTGCTATATTGTAGCAAGATTAAAAATTTGAAAAAAAAGTTTTTTTTATAAATATTAAATAATTTATTATATTTGATAAACTACTATATATATTATATAATATATAATTACTACAGCGTTTATCGAATTATTTATTAATATTTGATTAACACTTCATTATTTATCGATATATATTAAATGTTATATATAATATTAAATGTTAAGACTATGGAAAATATTTCATTCAGATTAAAGGATTTATCATTAGATTTTAAATAATAGCCTATATATAGCTATATAATTTTAAATAAATCCTTAAATCATATATGAACTTCGATAAATCAGCATTTGAAAGAAACAAACGAGAGCGCACTTCACGGATATGAAATTTATTTTCTAAGAAAAAATCATCATATAATCTCATGTAACTATATATAACTATATTTTGACTATTCGCAATCCAATATGAAAATACCAAGTCCAGTTTTCAGAAATTTTAAAGAAACAGACTTACTCTCACAATAAATATACTTGATGAACAAATCATCACATCACCTTCCCCCCTTCTTTCAACCAAATATATTCTTCCAGATGATGTAACAATTATTTGCTGTGTAAGCAACATGTAATCATCCAATTTGTAGTAATAATTCAAAACTGGACTTTCTGAAACATATTTTATTTTCTTCTTTCAATTTACGAAAGTAATCTTGCAACACTGAAATTTTATTATTTTCTTAATAAAACAAATATATTAAAAATTAACACAGATCATATCACAAACCAAAGAACATCCAAAAAATCTGAACAAAATTGATTAATTGTTATATTGTATTGAGAATAAATCAGTATTTCTTATTCTATCACACATATGAATATAATTTACAATTATAGCATATTAATGCTTGAGCATAATAAATATAAATATAATCATTATACATGTTACAATTTTCTTTTTATACACTATATTAATCATCAGTAACTTATCTTTCAGTTTCGTGCAGAATAATTTATATCTATAACAAATTAATGGATATAATAATGTCTAACATAATTGACTCTAATATCTATTAAAAATATTAAAAACATATTCTTGTAATAGGTTTCTTATTTTTATTACAATCAATAAACTAAAATCTAAACAATTTTTGACAACATGAAAATGATTAACTTTACATGTAATCATGTTTTTATAATTTAAAGAAAATTTATCTTAAATTGCTGCAATCTCCAATCAAAGAAGATATATAGTAATCATGTATTTTGTCTTTCTATTTAAAACATTATTAAAACATTGTTTTTATAATATAAAAGATGTTAAAAAGATCATTTAATTGAATAATTAATTCATTTAGTTGAATATCAAATCTCTCTAAATTCTTTATTATTTCACATTTAACTATTTTAACAAATTTATATCTATACTCATTCCGACATACCCTCATATTATAAAGCTAAAAATTGCTATAGTATTATTCTGTCATATAATTATATAATCATTATTAATCAGATTACTAATTCTATCGGATTAAACATCGATTGCTAGAAAAAAATGGATATTGTAATATTTCGTTAAATAATATAACAGATATATAACTAAGATATATAATTATATAAACAGATTATATTAATATAAACAGATACTCAGGATAAATATGATACATCTGTAAACAAAGTAAGAAGATAATAAAATCTTTTGATCAGATTAATTATATTACATTACATTAAATGCGAAAATTCGATGAATCAATAAATATGATTCAAACTTTTTAACGACTTCTTCGAAGATTTGACGCTCAAAAAAATTATTAAATGCAGTAAAAATACGCAATATAACAATATTCTTCTTTTTTCTTTTTTTGGCTTGAAAATTGGCATAAAATTTGCCACGAAAATTTTGCACTAAAAATGCAACATACTTGCCTGTAGAATAAAGATGAATTTATATTATTCGTTCAAACACGAAATAATTTAGTTTAAAAAAACATTCTCGTTGATAGTAAGATAGGAATGTTTATATATGGCATTGCGGATTTAAATAGAGATGTTTTGTTTTAAACAAATAACAAACGACACTCTTGCAAAGAATGTTTGAATTGATTGAAGCCACATACTGTTTAAACGATAATAATTATATATTTATTCAGTTCATCTAAATTGAATTTTGTTAATAGACAAAAAATCAACAATAATGCACAATGAATTGATGATATGAATATTATATTTTGTTTGAATCATTTCATAGATAATGTTATTTCTTGCCTGAAGAGAATTTCATGAACGGAATTTTCCCATAACAAAATGTATTATCAAATGAAATAATATACAGAAAAACAGATTATTAATATTAGGATAATAATAAATAATTAATATTTTTGCAAAGACTATTCCAATCGATATTATCCCGTATCAACTGATGAAATTTACTAATTACTAATGCATGAAACCGCCATAAAATTTTCATTTTCATTCAATCGAGAGACAAGAACAAACATTTGGTTATAATAATGAATCAATCATAGTTTTTTTTCAAAGGAAACATAATAAATACATTTTATATTGTAATACATAAAAAAATGGCTATTATAATTACATATATAAAATAAAAAGATATAAATTATTATTTAAATAATAATATTAATAAAAATTTATATTGATAATTATATATATTTATATAATATATATAAGCCATAATTTGTATTCATTATAATCTATTTTGAAATTATTAATAATATATAATTCATACATATATATACTGTGTGAATATTAGAATTAAATATTATTTATTAATTAATATAATAATTATCACTATTCAAATCTATAAAAACAATTTAAATATTTCTTATAAATTCACTTATATTTATATATATAAATAAATTTTTTTTTTAATTTTATTGTATTTATATGTAACTCAAAAAATTAATTTTTTTAAAGCAGCTACATATATATATTCAAAAATTAAAATTTTTTTATATATATTTATCTATTAACATAAATACAATTTTAATTAGATTAGATTAACTGGAAATCATTATTTATTATTAGTATTCATCAATAAACGTTAATGTTATGTATAATAATATTTTTAATATTAATAAATTAGTATCATGAAAGTATTTAAGATTATATATATTATATAAGATTATTTAACTTATGAAATTTTCTGATAATATGAAAATATAACATTTTTTTAAAAAATAATAAAAAGAGTTAAAAATGTTTTAATATATTTTTAGTCATATCTTATTTTCAAATTAAATTTTTTTTTATACATTGAATTATTTTGTCCTTATTTCATTTTATAATATTAATATTTTAAAAAATAATATATACATATTATATATATATATATATTAGAGAAAAAACCCAAAAACAATTCTTTGTTTCCTATAAAATCATATGTATCTATTTAATAACATTACTCAAAATAACATTTTTCATATTTTCAAAATAAATTGCTAAATTAAATTAACTAAGAAATATTTTAATTAATTTTAATTAATACGAACATATAAGAATTATTCTGTGGAAAACTATTTTTACTAAAAAATCTACAATTTAAAGTAAAACCAATTTAAATAACATTTATTAAATTTAATTTGCTATAAATATAACTATTACTATGCTACAATAAAATTTATATAAAATATTTTTTTTATCTACTACATTTTATTTAGATATAAGTTTGATTCAGATATTATCTGAATTATATTATTTAAAATCAATAGACATTTTAAATTTTGATTAGACAAAACAAGAATTGTTATCAGAATTTTTCTATAACATATACATATTAATTCATAAGTTATTTTTAGATTTTAGAAGTCAAAACAAATACAAAAGTTGATATATTATATAAGGTTATTTATTAAGTTATAAATAATTTGAATTTGCATTAAATAAAGTAAAACAGAAGAGCATACATAATGAGGTGGTTCTATCTTTATCACATAACTATTTTACTTTTAAATTTCTTATAAAGTATCTTTGTATGTTAAATTTTTTATAAATAACCCTCAAAATTTTTTTATATTAATATTTATATTTGTTTTGATTTATAAAATCAATCTTGCATAAATAGTGTTCCATGAATATATAATATCTATATATTTAAATAATGATATATGTCATTTATAAACCTTCAAGTAAATTAATTTTTGCAATTGCTTGATAATATCCATTACTACTAATTGTATGACGTTGAGATAAATGAATTTGTTTCAATGTAGTTTCTCCAAAAATTGTATTTTTATGAGCCTAAAATAAATTATAATTTCTTAATAATATGCTTAATGTTTTGATATATTATAGTTCAAAAAATAATTAAATATATTTACTTTCATTATTTCTGTTGCATCAAATGTTTTATATTTTTCATAATGGTTTTCTTCTTCATTTAATTTAAATTTTGTATTCATAAGAGTCAAATGTAACTTAACTTTCTCTGTTTCTTTATATAATAAACCTAAATAATAAATTATTGTTAATATTTTCAATATTATATTTTTAATAATTATTTATTAATATCTTATTAATATACATATATTTTGTTATTGAAGAATCTTACCTATCCTATTATAATAATCTACAATTTCATCTACCATTTTTTCCAAAGCCTCATTGTCAATTAACTTTGCATATAAAACTCGAGTTTCGCTAGGATCATCATTCATTATATCAGTTCCTTGTAAGTATATAGGAATTTGTCCATATTTTTCAATTATAGGCCTAGTTATTATGAAATTATTAATTTGTTATAAAAAATTATTTATAAAATAATTTTAATCAATATTTTATAATAAAAAATATTGATTATGTAATTTTTCTTACTTTACAATATGCTGATGACAATAATTCAAAGCTTCTATAGCTTGATTTTTTTCTGTATCATCAAGTAATGTTAATAATGCAATAGTAAGATGTAACTTGCTTGGTATTTGAAAAATCATTTCATCAATACCATTAGATTTTTTTCCAGAATTTTTCAGTACTTCATTTTTAAACATATTAAAATTCATTATTATGTGACCTTCATTTAAAGGTATTGATAAAAAATGTGTTGATGGTATTTTTTTTCTACTTGCTTCCATTAATAAATTTATTCTACGACGTGCTGTCATTATTCCTTTACGGTCAGTACCAATTATTACTATAAATGTATAATTGTATTGATAAAATTTGTAAAAATTAAATTTTATATTTCAATTATTACTCCATAAAATCCAAAATAAATAAATACCAATATCTCCATCTTCACCTAATCTTGGAATTTGTATAGATGTTCTAGTTTCATTTTCTAATTTTTTACGTACTGCATGTTTAGATCCAATAATAAATGGAAAGAATGATCTAAAAGATTATAATAATCATTAATATTATATAATATATAATTTTTTTATATAATATTTATATTAATACACATTTTTTATATACTTTGACACATGAAATGTGTGTTTAAATCTTGTCGACTCATATGGTACAATTTCTATATCACATTCATCTTCAGAATCTTTATAATCCACTTGATAGTTATCTTCAAAATAAGGAGAAATATTTTGGGCACTTGGCCGTTCGATATTTCCGAATAGTCTGTAACACCGACCATCTATCCAAATCAACTCAGGTTGCAGAATATTCATTGTATAAAAAATATTTTATTCTTATATTAACTGTAAAAAAGTATCTTTTTTTGTATTTAAAATAACATTATAATTTAAAATAAAAATAAAATTTTTTACCATAACCGTTTCATATTACATATATTTGTGATTGGAAAAAAGACACTTCAAAGTTATGCGAATCTAATTGGTTGATTGTTTTGATAGACCCAATATATTAAACCAAATTCAAATAGTTTATTGGCCGAAGTATCACATCTACATATAAAATCATATACCGCGTGTCGATAAGCAAGTGAGTTGAATACTCTTTTTTGCTTTTGTCCCGATAGCCAACTTATAAGTCATATAAGATACTATGCTGTATTTTGTACTATATATAAATAGGGACTAAAGGCTCCAATCATTAAATATATAGAAAAAAAAAAATTGTAAAAACAAAAAAAAAAAAAAATATTTCATCAGATATTAGCTGAAATTACACCAAGTGTTACGATGTTTTGCTTCTGATGATTCAATTCATTAAATGATGTACATACTTACTTATATCCTACTCAATGAATTGAGATATCGAGTGATACACAATATCACATAAATAAAATTTAGAATTAAGGCTGGTTCATAATCATGACATCGGAGCACTTGTTTTGCTAGTCAATAACTAAAGCCGCAACATCTGTCATGTAATTTAGTTATTTACTTTTGATGATATTAAGATTATATATGATAAAAACATATTTATAACATGTATTACAAATTATTTAAAACATCTCTTTGGCAATTTGAAATTTAACCGTTCTTTAAGAAACGATTTTTTTATACATTATTAATCTTTATAATACTTGGATCAGAACTGATGATTTTAATAATAATATAAAAGAATTATAAATAAAAATGATACAATATATAATATATAATTATATAAAAATTTTAAACTTCTTTCAGATATACATATTATAATATTATAAACTATATTATAAAAATGTTTTTTTATCAGCTGTGAAAAACTATTTTCAAATCAACTTAAAACAAGAAATAAACATGTTAGAATTATAGAATATTTTTAATATTGTAAATTACAAAAATAATGAAAATTTAAAGAAAAATAAAATTTTTTCTGAACAAACAATATTTTCTTAAAAANNNNAAAAAAAAAAAAAAAAAAAAAAAAAAAAAAAAAAAAAAAAAAAAAAAAAAAAAAGTTTATATTATTTATATGATATTGATATATTGATATATATGTATATTGTAATATATTATATAAATTGACAAATATTTATTTTTACAATATATCAATTTTTAAATAAATTTAAAAAAAAAAAATAAAAAAATAAAAATAAAAAGAATGTTATTTTTTTGAAATTAAAAAAAAAAAATATTTTGAAGACAATAATTATACTTTTAATTAAATTTTAATTACTTTTTCATTAAAATTTTTATATTATTTTTATCTTGATGATATATGTAAATTTTTAAATATATGGAAAATAAAATTGTAAATACAAAATTTATTACTTTTAATTTCATTTGTTTTTATACACGTTAAGAAGATAATAATTGCAACTTACTTTTATGAAACAGTTAAAATTGTTTTATAATTTGTAATTATTTACAATATTTATGATTTTTAATATTTATATTTCACAATAAAATGTTTAATATTTAATGTTCAGATTTGAAATTGACATAAAAAAAATTCAATATTTAATATAATGCAAAATGTACATTATAGCAGAACATAAAATGCATTTTTAAAAGATATAACATACATATTATTTCATACTAAATGAAAATATAAAGTTTATACATTGAATGTACGAAGTTAGAAATTTACTAAATTCTTAATGGCTAAATTACTAGAATGTTTATGAAGCATGTACAAATTGATCTATATTACAATAATAATAATTACAGATATATCTACATATAGGCATTACTTAGATATATTTTTAGTAGATATATTACAATATTCAAAATGAAGAATTCATATAATAAATAACTATTTCATGTCATAAGTTACAGAATTAATCTTCATCAGTACTTTTCTGATAAACTGCGCCAAATTTACTCATATACTTACGTACAAAATCTTTAGCTTTATGTTTAACATTTTCATTACATTGTAATTCATCAACACTTTTACAATGTTTTAATTCTTTTGCAAGTACAAAATGTGTAAGCTAAAACAGAAAAGTTTTATTAAATTTAATTTTACTATACATTTATTAAAAAAAAATTCATAAATTTATCAAAAAATTCTTAAAAGTTTTCTTGTATAAACATACCTTTCTAGCTAAATGTTTAAAGTCTTCTGTATTTGTTATTCTACCTTGTTTACAATCATTTTTTCTATATGGATTCAAAAAATGTACCATGACATTTGCCATATTTATCCTAAAAGTATCTTTAATTTTTCTCTCTGACATTGTAGATAAATCGGATGTAGGTAATTGTATTTTATTTAAATTATGCCGTGAATGAGATTTAGATTTGTTACTACGTCGATGTCTTCGTATTTTTTCAACTTGTTCTTTGAATTTGGCTCTCTCTTTTTGACGACGTAATTTTTCCTTTATTCCTTTATGTGTTTTATGATCCATACGATCTTCTTCTCGGCGTGGCTATAAAAAAATAATAAATATAAAAATATATATTAATATATTTTTAATTAAAAATAAATAAATAAATAAATAAATATAGTCTCTATAACATACACTAATAATTCTTTCTTGAACTAAACCTTCTCTTCTTTTTTTGCCTTCTGAGAAAAGTCCTGAACTTCCAATTGCACTATGAATAGGACTTTTTTTAGTTGCATTATGCTTAGAACCATTTAAAGATTTTTCTATTAAAGTATTATTCAAATTTAATTCCTCATTTTTGGAATCTTCATTATTATCTTCTTCAATTTCTTCATCATCTTCGTTTGATGAAGTTGATTCTTCACTAGATTCTGAAGTTGATGATGAATCTGGTTGAACTCCAATATGATCTGGAGGAGGAGGTAACCATTGCGATATTCGTTCTTTTACATGATAATAATATGTTCTGCCTCTAGTATCAGTTGCACTTTTCCATTTAGGTGGTAAATCTATAGGAGGTATTTCAGATTGTGGCTGTTTGAACGTTGTAGGAAACTGTTGATCTGATTGCTTTTCCATATGTTCGTAAAGAGATTCTGTTTGAAGTGTAACTGTTGTGCCACTAGGAACTAAATTATTTGAAAGTGACAATTGGCTTTCAGAATATTGTTGATGACAATGAGGCAGTAAAGAATAAACTGTTGTGGTTTGATTAAATACAGGCGTTTGACTTAATGTATACACTACTGGAGGAACTCCTGAAGGTATATTGTTCGACATTCCAGATGATATTTCAGAAGAAATTGATGATTGTAAAACATGTGAACTTTGTGGTACTATTCCAGATTGAGTATGACCAGATATTGTTTGTGGTCCACCTACATATACTGGAGTACATTGCTGATTTATTTCTCCATCTACAATAAAATTTTATATGAATTAATTACTTAACAAAGAAAAATAAAACAAAAAACAAAAAAAATGAAAATAAGAAATAGCAATTAAAGAAAGAAAAAAAATTATAAGAAAAAATAAAATGCTTTCTAAGTTATATAAGTGATTTTTAATCTTTATATTTATTTTTAATATAGATAATATAGTTATAAGATAAATTATATTTTGTTTTATAAAATCAATAAAGATTATCATAAAATTGAAAAGTTAGACTTATACTACTTGATAACTGTGTAATTTAAATATAAAAATTTAATAAAAAGATTTAATAAATATATTATAATAAATTTAATAAAAATTTAATAAATTTAATAAAAAGATATAAAATTTATAAAATTTAAATATAAAAAAATATATATGAATTAGAACCTTGTGTAGGATATTGTTGCCATTGTCCAATTGATGGATTATAAAAAACAGGATATCCTGTTTGTGGATCTACCATAGCTGTAGTGTGAGGATCTATGCCTAATGCCAAACATCTAGTTTCATGATCTTGCCATGATTCTTGTTGTTGACGACGTTGTCGTTCTTCTTCTTCTTTAGCTACTTTTAAAGCAAATAATTGTCTACGCTCATATTTTGTCATTCGTGGAATTGGAACTAAACTACTTCTTTCCTCTATTCTTTTATCTTTTGTTCGAATATGCTCGGATTCTGGAGATTCTCGCCCACGTCTTCTATCCCCACGTTTCTCAGGTTCGTTTCTTCCATATCTATCAGATCTATGTCTATAAAATAAGAAATTTATATTTTTATTTTTGATTGTAAATCATTTATCAATTTATAAATAATTACAATCATATATATATATTATTATTATTATACCTATCATATGATGTTCCTCTTTTTTCTTCTTTTTCTAATTCTTCTCGGTATCCACGATCTTAGAAAAAATATAATACATTAATTTTTAAACTAAAAAAATTCTATTATATCATACTTATATATTCATTACTTATAATTCATTACCTGCTTCTCTTTCATGTTCTTTCATTTGTTCAATTCTTTCTTTTTTTGGTATACGAAAAACTTCTTTTAAATTTGACCATTCGACTAAAAGACTCGAAGCTAATTCGGGAATGAGATTTTGATCTGTATTATCAGATTTTATTTCGGTAATTTCAATATTATTTTCTTGTTTATCTGTATCAATTAATTGATAGGAATTTCTTTTTTCATTATTATCATAATTAATTTGTAATTCATCACTATTTGATTTTAATTTTCCTTGATCATCATCTGGAGAATCTCCATTTAGAGAAAAATATAATCGTCTAGACCATTTTTCTACTACGTTATAAATTTTACTATCCATTAACATTGTTTTATTAGGAATTGGAAGTGTATTTAAAGTTTTCAAAACTTCTAATCGAAATTGTTGTGCTTCGTCAGTATCATTTGTAGAAATATCCATAACATAACTCCAAATCAAACGTAAACCATGATAATCCAAAAATAATCTTCGACATGGCTGTTCACCACTTTGTATCAAACGTAAAAGACGTGTTCTGTGTTCTAATTCTCTGCTACGTACCATTAATCTACTTAATGTTAATGTGTGAGCTCTATTTTTTAAACCACCCGAACATAATTTATCTATTTCTTCCTCCAACTAAAATAATATTAACAGTAAATTAAATGATAAAATAGTTGAAAAAATATTTTGCAGAAATAAAAGATTAAATTACTCACATCTTCATCTTCCATATAATCAGCTTGTTTCTTTTCACCTTTTTTCTTTTTCATATCTTTCTCGCGTTTTTCTTTCTTTTCAATTTTTTCTTTTTCTTCCTCGGGCGTTTCACCAATCCAACCACGACAATTGGGTGCTTCACAAAAACATTTCTGTGCTTCTTTACTAATATTGCAATAAAATTTAGCACAAGTAATACACTTTTGTTAAATATATTATATTTATATAATATAATATAATATAAAAATAATATAAAAATAATATTAATATACATACCCATAACGTTGAAAATGATAATCAAATGTAATTTCTTCACCAGCAGCTATAAATTTTTTGTTAAAAAAGCCAATTCTCAATTCACCATTCACTGTCCACTATACAGATTTCAATTATAAAAATAAAATTATAAAACTCTATATTTTTTTTATTTTTATTGGCAATACTTACTTTTTGTGTTTCAGAATTAGGATCACAACTATGATTTATAAATCGAGAAACATTTCCTTTCATAGTGGCATCAATAATTTGGTCAGATTTTAATGCCATAAAATAATAATGTTTATTTTTATCTTTTGAATATTCTTTTGCTCTACGTCGAAAATCTTTAGGATCAACTACTTCACCTACATATTCCATTATAAATTCTCCTCTATTTAGAAAAATAAAATTCATTAAAAAATATTTATTGCGAATGTCTTCATTGTATTTAATTGTAGTAAATTAACTTACGCTAAAAGATCGACCATAGCTCGCAGACCAAATCCTTTTTTTTCTGTTCTAAATACTTCACATTTTGCATATTCACAATTTTGAAATCTTTTATTTGTGCAACGATCACCTACTACACATCGAGGTCCACTAAAAAATATATAAAATATTATATAACTTATTTTTTAATTAATATTTAATTTAACTGTATTAATATGATGATTAATATGATATATAATATGAAATAATAATGTATAATACATTAATATGATATATAATATACCATTCTATCATAAGAAGTCTATTTAAACAATCTTCACCACAACCTAATTCTCCTCTTTCAATTTCTTCCTCTGTTAAAAAACAATCGCATACCATTCTTTTTGTTTCCTTATTTGTATATCTAAAAAAATTGTTAATGTATTTATCGTATATTTATATTCATAAGTTTATTTACATACCTTTCTGTCAAATATAAATTTTCACGTAAATTTTCAAATTGACTTAGCCTTTCTTCCATTTCTCTGTCTTCTATCTCAGAAACCATAGGTAATGAAATTCTCGCACCAACTATTTTTGGAATTTGCACAATATTATTATTATTAGTTGATACTGGTATCTCCTTTGTTTGTTCTATATCTACATTAGATTGAAAATTTGCAATTGATGCAACTCCAGATGTAGATTCTGAAGAATTAATATCTGCTAAAACTCCAGTTGAGGATTTAAGTGTTGAACATGATCCAAATTCAGATATATTTGCAGTTATGGTTCCAAATATAGATCCTACTGTTGATGTAGATGCAGCTCCTGTATTTGATCCTCCCATTTCAAGTTCACTAGATCTTCGCCAACGAGACTTTACTTTAACAGGTTTACAGGAATCTGAATCATAGCCTGTAGCATTACAAGTTGTTGTTAATAATGAGAGAGATTCAAATGTATTTGTTGTCTTATTGATGTTTGCTTCTTTGTCTGATTGTAATTCAGATGGGTTGTCTATTTTCATTTCTTGAGCAATTGAAACAATATTATTGACTATTTTTTCTTGCTGGACATTTATTTTTGAAATATCTGTATTAGGTTTGGTAACTAAACCCCGTCCACGGGATCTACAAAATAAGATCTATATTTAGAAAAATTTTTATAATGAATTATATGTTCTTTAAATATTCAATAAAAAATTTTTTTAAAATATTTTATTTATTATACACATTTAAATTTAATGTTTATATTCATATTTATATTGTATATATATGTTACAAATAATGAAAATCGTAGATTCAAAAAATATTTAAAATTATTTAAATAAATTTAATTTAAATTTATCTTATTACTAATAAAGTTTATATATGAATTATATATAATGAAATTCAAGTTATAATTTAAAAAAATTATAATATTTTTATCATAATTATTAAAAATTATATCATATTAAAAAATTATTTTTAAGGCTACATATATATATATATATATCAATGATGAACAAATTTAATTTTATTAAAAAAAATATTCTTTTTGTTTATTCATATATATATTAAGATACATACCTTTGTTTCATTAAACCAATTGATCTAATTCTACTACTTCTCCTTACACCAGAATTATTTGATCCACTTTCTGAACCTGTTGTATCAGTACTACCACTTCTACTTCTAAACTCAATTTTTTTATCGATATCATTTGTGTTATTATTACATTTTGAATCAAATTCTGTTAATTTACAATTATTGATAGATAACATTGTATCATTACTATTATCACTGCTACTAGATAGTTTTGTATCTTCTCCATCAATTTTATTATCTATTTCACTGTCACCATACAATTCCTCAACTTGTTGCAAATTTATTGTTTTCCGTTGATTTCCATTCTTTTTATCTAATGAAATTTTTGATTTTAATAAATGTTGATTTGTATATTCCACTTTATCATTACAGGAATCAGATTTATTTAATTCTGTAATATTTTTATCCATATTATCAATCAACAAAGAGTTATTTGATTGATGCAATTGTTCCATTTTATCCAATATTGAAGAACTATAGTCCGCGAGTTGATTAAACGCAATAATATTTTTCCAATATTACTCTAAACTCAACCTCAATTAATATATTCTATTTTTCTACAATAATAGATCCTATTTAATAATTATTATACACATTTGTTTTGGACAATTACTTATTTGGTATAAAAATATTCATGTTTTATAGAAAAAGATACGAATGTTCTTGCGTCACTTGAATAAACGCATAGTAAATAAAACAAAAAAAAACAATATTTTCATAACAAAGATGTTTTATTAATACTTTGTATGTCCACCATTTTTGTTTATAACTTGAAAGATACGATTTAGTATTGATTTATATAGTGTGTCTAGATAAGATTGTGGTACTTTTTTCCACTTGGTCTCTATGGTATTTACAAGATCTTCCTGGTGAGAAAATTGACGATTATTCATGTAAACTTGTCTTGATAGATATCCCCAAACATTTTCAATGATATACAATTTCGGTGATAATACCGGCTAATTTATATGATTTATTTCCTGCTTCTTATACCAATTTTTAATTAACTTGGCTATATGAATGTCCACATTATCGTGTTGAAATATCCAATTGTACTTCATTACGTTTAAAATTTTTATCTTTGTTAAATTTAATATTTCTCTTACTAATACCGACAGAGATTAACGATTCTGTTTCTTAAAATAATCATAGGTGGCATTCAAATATAATTGTTTTATATTTTTTATCACATTATAACGCTAATAAATTTTTTTTTTTGCTAATCGAAAATTCTCTTATTATAAAAAACACAAAAGATATGTGATATATATATATATATATATATATATATATATATATATATTTAAATGATAATGTCTATATCTCAAGAGTCTAGTTATCATTGAATATTGCTTATTTAGAGTATCAACGATATAAGATTAAGACTCTTTAGTAACTTTACTAGACATTCTTATTAAAATAATTATATTTCCTAGTTATATGTTATTAAATGAATATGTTTCTATTATAAAATAAAATGATATCCTTACAAAATCGTTAATTTAAAATTTATTAGATAAATTATTTTATTACATTTATAATCTATTATATTATGAAATATAATATTTATTGTAATATCAAATCTAAAATATTACTAGTAATATAATGATATTGTATTGTATATAAATATATATATATTGTTATATAATGTTTAATGCTCTTTGAAATGAATATTTTATTAATAATTTTAGAATAAATTCTTTTTTAATTCGACAATTCTATAAAAAAATATTATATTAGATTCTAATTAGAATGATCAAATATTGATAATTTTTATTGATTTAAATTTAATTATATAGATGATGATCTTGAAATTTCTAACGATTTAAAGTGAACAGTTATAAAATCTCTAGTAATGTTATGTTGATTGGTTGAATATAAGAATGGCCGTTCCTATAATTTTAAATTTGAGTTAAGAAATATTTTATTTTAGATTTACTTGGATAACAAATAATTTTATTTGAATAAAATATGTCCATTAATGTTACTGTTAATGGAAATCGTTTAAATATACATAGAGGAAGAATGGTATTATCTGATTTAGATCAAATTAAGAAAAATGAACGAGATCGACGGCGAAGGTTACGTTTGGAACAGGTACACATATTATATAAAATTAAAAATATTTAAAAAATGATGAATATATGATATAATAAAAGTAAAGTATAAAGAAATAAGTTAAATAAATAAATAATTATAATAAATATACATGTAAAATATTATGTATATAAAATATAAAAAATATGACATTGTAGTAATTATTTTATTGCGTTAAAAGTAGATAAAGTATTAATGCTGTTGATATCAAGATTAATAGTAAAAAGATCAGAAGAATCACTTAAGGAATTTATATAGGTACGACAACAATCAAAAGAAATATCAGATAGACTTTTGAAACGTACAAAATGCATAGCTAAGGAAGAACTTAAAAAGCTTGAAAATAATGACAAGTTAAGTTTGAAGCAAATATATAATGGAAAAATCATGGAAGTTCAACAAAAATATCAAGAAGACATGGCAGATATTGGTCAAGCACATACATCTGCTGCATTAGAACCTGATTATGATGCATTAATTAAAGAAAAACAAAGGAAAAATAAAATAGCAGCATTAAAAAGAGGAAAAGAAGCAAGAAAGCAAATTAAAAATACTCAACAGGTAAATTATTTAATATTAACATTTTATTATATTGTAGAAAATGATTACAAATGTTCATATTCAATACAAAATACAAATATTCATATACTATGTTAGAATAAAATTTATGAAAAATTAAGTAAAATCTGTATCAGAAGGAGACTATGCAACAGCAACATCATGAACGATTACAACATGTAAGAGAGGTAGAAAATCTCAGATCTAAAATGATAGCAAACATTTGTAAGAAAACAGGGTCTGAAGAGGATACTGTATGTGTTACTGTTCAGAATAAAACTGATGAAGAAAATAAACAGCAGAAACTTGCCAAAAAAAAGACAAAAAAATTTTCTAAAAAATTACCTGAGAATGTTGCAGAAACTCATATAAAAGTATATATTTTTATATATTAATAATATTAAATCTATAAATATAAATATTTATATATTTTAAAACACTTTTATAGATTGTAGGAAATGATTTTAAAACACATTCTCCAATTTTGAAGCCAAAAATAAGAACATCAGAAATAATTTCAGAAAATGATTCTGTAGTTCTACAACAACAATCTATTCTTAATTCGATTACAGAACTATCATCTAAACAATATGTAATTGAATCTGATAATAAAAATTTTGAGAAAGAAAATATTCTGACAAAAGTAGATAAAACAAGGTATGTATCATAATATTAAATTTAATAAAAAAGCAATTGTTAATAAATATTTTGGATATTGAAGATATAATCCGGATGATTACATACAAACAACTTCAGAGTCTATTACTAGTGACAGTTCCAGTTCGTTTAGTGATGATTCATCATATTTTTCTGATAGTGGTGAACAAAATATAAGTAAAGAAATAAAAACAACAAAATATATAAAATGTCCAGCTAATGATAAAGTACAATTATATGATCATAATAAACGTTTTAATAATGTATATGATCAACCAGTTGGTGTTGTTGAAAAAATATCTACATGGAATGAGGTTTGTAGAAATAATTTAAATATTTAAAATAATTTAATGTAATAAATAAATAATTCAAATGATAATTCTAATTCATATGATTTATTTTAGATAATATTTTAGCCATTTATAAAAAATAACAAAAAAATTTCCTAAAAAAAAAAAAAAGAATTTTTTTTAAATTTTAGTTAATAGTCAAAAATAAAAAATAATATAAATTAATAATAAAATCGAAATTACATTATAAGCTTTTTTAAATGTCAAATATAAAAAAAATTAATACATATTAAATTTATATTTCCAGCCAAGTGCAATGGATTTGGCTCAAGAAATAGAACAAGCACAAACTGTTCAGCAAAATTTATTAGAAAATCGTAAACATAATGCGAAAAAACGCGGAGAAAATGCAGCATTAAGAGAAAAAATACGTCGGGATTATCAGATACTTATGCAAAATCTAGATCAACTTGCAGGTGAAGAACGTAAATTAAAAGCTAGTCAAATCGAACATTATCCGGTATCTATTTTATTTTTATTTTTTAATTTGTCCATAAATTCATCATATATATTTTTTATAATTTCCTTTATATTATTTTTATTTAGAAAGATGTATATATACAAGAAGAACGAAGAAAACTTTTAAGAAACCAACATAAAAAAAATCTAAATCGTGCATTAAAAACATTATTAAGTGAAGAATCTTTAAATGAAGAACAATGTATATCACATCCTCTAGAAAGGCAAATTACACTTACACCAAGAAAATATGAAAAAAATATAGATGATTATACTGATTGGAAAGAGTCTTGTTGCTTTAATCAACATACAAAAACCAGCAAAATTTTACAAAATAAATGTAAAGAGAGTGAAACTTCACGCGAAGAACAAATATTAGATATGTTAAAAAAAGTTGAAAAACAAAAACGATTATTATTACAAGAATTTGGAGCAAATTTACCAAACGATATTTTTAATGCGTCTATAAAAAGTTTGTTCGAAAAAGATAAATCAGTTCAAACTCAATTACCTGTTCAAGATGTATGTATTCAAAAATCTTTATCGCCAGAAATCAAAGTAATAAATGCATCTTATGATGAAGATATTAAAGATAAAACTGAAGAAAAAAAAGAATTATCTGTGAAAAAAGTAGAAATTGCTGTACAAACAGCAACAATAGATAGAGATAATATAGTTCAAGATAAAAGCACACAAGTACAATTGATATCACAAAAAGAAAATGAATCTGTTTTTGTTAATGATGAAATTAAGACGATTACAAAACATTATCCAATTGAACCACGAATTACAATTATTAGACATGAAATGGACAGTAATAATTCAACAAGTTCTGAGACAATAAATGCAGTTACTGATGTTGATGAAAGTAATAATCAAAGTCCGAAAGTAATATTGAAAAAGAAAAAATTTAATACAAAGATATTAAAGCAAACTCCACCAAAAATGTTTCATAAATCATGCTCAACTCGTACAAATAAAACTTCGTCTCCTGTAAAGAAATATTCAAAATTTTTGTCAAGATCACAGTATAGCAGTCAAAGAAAAAGTTTATGTACAGAAGACATGCCTAATAAAAAAATTAAAATGTATGTAGATAAAAATGGATTTAATATTAAAGTAAAGCCACCTCAAATTACAGACATTACTGTAGATGTAAATTCGCAAAGTACTCAAGTTTATTCAACAAAGTCTAAAGAAGAAGCTGTGAGTAAACAACAATGGGTTCAATCCACATCGAAAAGAATTAAAATGAAAGATATTTCGGATACATCAACATCTTTTGCTAGTCTACCATCAGTAAAACCCAAAGAAATATTCGAAGCTTTACATAATAATATTTCTATTCTTGAAATGTTAGATTCTTCAGCAAATGAAAGTATAAGACGTTTAAGAAAAGATATTAGTCCAGTATCAACACCAGATACCCCATCACCTCGTACTATGATGATGCCTTCAAATATACCTCACTTAGATAGAATTAAAAAATTGCTTAAATATTCTACAGATTCTCAAACGAATAATAATGATACATTTTCTAAAAACGATAATTCAACATCAATAGATTCATCTGAATATCAGCAAAATGATTGTTTATCATCAAAAAATAATGATGTAGATTTGAAAATTCCAATTTCACTAGAATTTTGTTTATGTGATAATTCAGAATGTAAACAAACGCATGCTAAATTCGATGAAATTCGTAATTATGCATTAAAAAATTGCCCTCAAATATTACAAAAGTATGAAGATCTTCAAACTACATGTGCAGAAAGAATAATTTCTTTAACGAATCTTATTGAAAAAGTTCGAAATGAGCAAAAAGGTATATTATTTTCATCGATTATTAATAATTAAGGAGTATTAGAAAACTTATTATTAAAATTTTTTCTTTGGATTAATTGACAATTTTTAAAAAAAAATATAAAATTTCTAAAATTTTATATATGCAAAAAATATGTCAAGATCTTTTTTAAATTAACGAAAATCAAAATTTTAAAGTTTTAAAAAATTTTCGAAATTATATTTCTTATATTATTAAATTAGTAACAGGAAAAGTAAAGATTTCTTTTTTTAATTTTATATTTCAATAATAATAAATTCATCTAGAAGAAAATTCATTTTTATTTAAAAATTGATTTTTAGATAAAATATAAAAAAATAATTATATGATTTTTCTTATGAATTTGTTAGGTATGGAACTTTTTTCTTTAATTGATCCAAGTGATGAAACGAGTTTGATGCAATTACCTGATCCTCAACCAATGACTAATGATTTACAAAATGTGCATAGACTTGTAGAAAATATAGAAGCAATTCATGATCAACTTGTAAAAACACTGATTGAATCTCAAAAGATTATTAAAAGTAAGATCATCAAAGAGGAAATTGATCAAATAAAAGAAATAGGAATAGTATCTTGTGATGATAATGCAAAAGATAAAAAAGAACTAGAAGAAATCAAAATTAAGCCAAAAATTCTAAGTGACGAAAAAGTGAACATTCAATTGAATAGATTTAAAATACAAAAATCAACATTCCAAGCATCAACATCGACACCAAAACATAACACTTGGCTTACACCAAAACAATATGAAGAAGAAATGATAGAAAAATTATCAAAAGAAATTTTAGAACAAAGCAAAGGATTCAATGATAATGTGATATCACAGAAAGAAATTTATGATTCAGCTTTGAAACATTCTATTCAAACTTCAACAGATAATGATGATTTTAAAAATGAGACACAAAAAAATCATACAATTATAAAAAAACATTTTAATAAAGAGGTAATTTAATTTATATTCACATTTTTTTTTTCATGATATTATAACTACTTTTTATGTTATTATAATATTATATTTCGTTATATAATATTATATTTCTATATATAAATATTTATTTTATTATACAATAAAATATATTATTCTAGGTAAAAAATATTAAAGAATTTATACCATTACTTAATGATATTCCGAAAACATCGAAAACTACAGATAATATGCATATTAATGGAAGAAGTAAACCACCAGTGAGTTTGCTTAGTGGACCATATAGGTAAAATTTAGTAGTATTTTATTTTATATATTTTTTTTATATATATTTTAATAATATAATTTAATTATATATAATATATATATTAGTTATATATTAATTATATATATTTTAATAATATAATTTAATTATATTTGATAATGTAATTATATATAATTTTATATCATAATAAAATCATATTGCAGAACTGAAATTGAATCATCTGGGCATGAATTATCAACAATAATTGAATTTGATACACCAGATACTGTAAATAAAAGCCAAAACAATATCAGAAGTCCATTGTCAGCGAAAAAGATTGCAGAAACTCAAATAACAAAATCTACTGCTGTAGTAAAGCCATCGGAACACATTAATACATCGCATAATTTAGATAATCAACATTCAGAAAAGTTGCGTAATTCTATTAAAAAGCTATCTTCAATAGTATTTACACAAAATTTAAAAGAAGCTTCAATATTTCTTGATTCACCTAAATCATCTAAAAATATAGGAAACCAACACTTAATGGAAAATAAAGAACAAAAAAATATTATTCAGAAGAATGATAAAAAGTTCCAATGTGATACAGTGAAACAAGAATCATTACAAACAAAAGAATTGCAGTCTTTTCATTCTAATAGTAATGATCAAAATAAAGAATGTAAAGATAATAAAAATAAAATAACGTCTACAAGTTCAAATAGTTTTTCTGAATTATCAGGAGTTTCGCAAATAGCAAGTACCCCTTCTTCTACTATATTAAAATACGCATCATCTCCAGAAGAAATGGAAATTGCTCTTAAAAAACTTGGTCTAGGTTGGGCGATTACAACGTTAAAAAAAACACGAGAAGCGAGTGCTTTAAGTTCATCATCCAATTCTGACGTAACTCCGATAAATACTGCCAAAAGAATGATATCACCTGTTAAAAAGCAATTTGAAAGTAATTACGGATTACCAGATTTCAGTGACATGTCTTCAATATCTATTAAAGAAGCTAGCAAAAGTACAGAGAAAGCAGTTCTTTTAAAAGGTAGAACTTCTACACCAAAATTACAAAATTCGAATTCTAATAGTGAAGGAACGAATACAAGTAATACAAATATTTCTGAAAATTTTCAAGAACCTGATGATGGTTTGATAATTCCTAATATATCACTTACAAAAACGAAATCTACTATTAAAAAGTTGGAAAATCTATGATATATTTTTATATTATTACTTAAATAATTTTTTTTATAAATACTTAAAAATATATATAATAAATCAACAAAAAATTATTTTAAATAAACAATTAGTATTTTTATTATTAATTGAAATGAAAGTAATAATCAAAGTCCGAAATGATTTATTAAATGAATTCAAAAATTTAAATATTTATTATTTGTACATGTTATCAATTTTCATTATTACTTTAATATATTGAGTAATTGCCACATAATTTTTGTAAATTTGCTTGAGTCAAAATATTAATAAGAAAAAAATTAAAATTCAATAGAAAATTTTTAAACTTATTGCTATTATAAAAGATTAGAAACTTGGTTTTTAAGATATTATCGTTTTTTCTTTATTTAGATTAAAACAATATATAAATATATTTTAAAAAATATTTTCTAATTTTTTTTCAATTCGGATCTCGTGTATTTATTATATATATATATAAGATTTCCAGTTTAAACAATTCGAAGAAATTAGCAGAAAATAATCTTCATTGATGGATCGGAATTTGAGTAAAATTATCTGATTTATTATTAGATCATATTGGAAGGAAATCCTGAATTCTTCATGAAGAAACTTCATGAAAAAAGAAATTTTTATAAAACAAAATATTTTGATATTTTGAATGATTAACATTCATTTAGTTAGATTTTTAGATTTTTAGATTATTATAATAAAAATAATTTTGACAATCCAAAGTTTCATTTGCATCGTATCGAGCAAAGCGATTCCATAGAATTGAATTATTAAATTAAGTCAAACTTAAAGTGAATTATAATGTACATCAAATTATATTTTGCATTCCAGAATCATCAAAACAATAAATAAAATATACTATATTGAATTTGAATTAATTCGTTTAAATATTAAAAAGACTTTGATATATTGTATATCATTTTATTTGTTAACAAAATGCATTATTAATTATGATTGTTTTTTCATATTATTTATTTTGTTTTTGAAACTATAATAATGCAATAGTGTTCATAATTTGGCATTATCGAAAATGAACACGGAAATATTGGATTATCAAAATTCTATTCTGTACATATATATGTACAGTATATAATTATATATATATATATATATATAATTACTGATTATTATATAGAAAAAAAATAGTAATAACAAAATAAAATATATATAAATACGCTTTAAGAATTATTTTTTAATAAATAACTATCGAAATTCATATATATTTTTTACGTAATATAAAATGTAGATCATAAAAGATAAAATAAGTAAAATAAATAAATATTATATTTTTATATTATTCTAGTTTAATAAAACTAAATAATAATAGTTTATTTTTAATAATAAATTTAAAATAATGAATTTTTATGTAGTATTTATTATTACATCTTTCCCATCTCCATTTTGATATAAAAAATTTTGTTATGTATAATTTTTTATATATATTTATAACATTCTTATGTAATTTTAAAAGAACAAAGCTTTCTTAATCATAATAAATTTCTTTTTTACAATTTCTTTCTTTTCTACAATATAATATTTAATAAAATTTATTTTACAAATTATTATTCTATATTTGTTCTAAATTATTGTTATATATTTAATTTGATTTATTTCATGTCATTTGAATCAATATTTATTTTATAGTATTATACAAATATTACGTATATTTATCAAATATAAAAGTCTATTTTTGATTCATTATTGCACTATATTGGTTTCTATAAAAATTTTAATATTGAAAACTTGTAACAATGCGAAGAATAAAATAGATTTTTTATACAGAATTCATTACTACTTATATATAATAAATATATTTAGTATTTCCATAATTTTACTGTTATCTGTAATTATTATTAATTAATATTGTGTTAATATAATATTAATTATATTGTGAATGATTACATATATATCATACAATTGTACGAAGATGATTAGCCTTTTTCATAAAGGCATATTTTTTAAAAATTTGTATAAACAATTTAATTTATAAATATTCATGAAACTAAATATTGTTATTCAACTCCATACGTCACTTGAGTAACGTTTTTGCGAATCCATTTTCTTGATATAATCTGCTGCATCTAATTCCGACATTTTTCCCTTTTCCATCACAACTTTTAATAAAATATTGTGTACATCTCGTGCCATATTTTTTGCATCACTATAGATGAAATATATATTTTATGAATATATATAATATATATTTTATAATTTACTAATTTAACGTGCATTATTTAAAATATATTTTAATATATCACAAATAATTTCCAATATAAATTTCTTAATAATTATATTTTATGATATAAGAATAGCAAATTCGTAAAAAAAAATCAATTTTTCTTATATTATTATAAAAAATAATAGTAAATATCTTAAATATTAAAATATTTAACATTCAATTTAATTATTAAGTTGAAAATTATTCATAATTTAATTTAATAAATATTATATAAATTACATAAATTATTACATAAATAATTATATAATTTCATACTAACCCACACACATAGATATGTCCATTTTGTTCTCCAATAATTTGCCACAATTCATCTTTATTTTTTTCTAATAGATGTGTAACATATATTTTCTGAGATTGTTCTCTACTAAATGCAGTATGTAAAATTAAAGTACCTCTCTTTACATATTCTTCGAGTTCATCTTTGTAAAGAAAATCTTCATCTTTTTTTCTACATCCAAAATATAAAATTGTATTTCCTACTTCTTTTCCTAAAAAAAAATAGATTTTTATAAATTATTTATATTTAATGAAATATATTACGTTTATTGAAAAGTGATATTTTATAAAATTGATTTTTTAAATTGAATTTTGTTAATTACCTTCTTTTCTTGCAAGATCACGTTCTTGTATAAAACCTCTAAATGGTGCTATTCCAGTACCTGGACCAACCATGATAATAGGAGTTGATAATCGAGTTGGTAAACGAAATTGAGATTTTCGAACAAAAATAGGAACATAACATGGTGGATATGAAGGATGTTTTTCTTTTAACCAGCTAGTAGTTACACCTTTGTTAATTCTACCTGTTGGTGTTTTATATTCCACAACAACTGCAGTAATATGAATTGAAGATGGGTGTAACTAAAAATTAATTAAAAAATAATTTTAAACTAAGATTACAAGATAAATTATATAAAACTAATTATATAATATTATAAATATTATTATTATATTAATATTATATTATATTATATTAATATTATATTAATTAATATTATATAAATATATTAAGATNATAAATTATTTTAATATTATATATATTTTTTTAAATATAATATAATTTTATTCAAATTTTTTTTGTTTTTCGAGTTTGCATTATAATAAAAAATTATTATAAATATTGAAATAATATACCTTAGGAGATGAGGAAATTGAATAATATCGGCATTGCAATCTTGGTAAAAGTTCACAAAGATGATCCAAGTCTGGCTTCAAGCTAGGAATATCTTCTAAAATATGTACAATATTTCTATTTTCTTGAACTACCCATTGCTGATAAGCAGCTTTACCATCCATACTGGTTGATGCCATTAATTTTAATTTTTCTTTATCATTTGGATCATTGCAATATTCTGCTAATTCTTTCAGAACATGAGTACGTGGATTACTAGTAATATCTAAATAATGTGTCAAAGCAGTTCTATAAGAACATGGACAAGGAAATGGATGCTTCTTGGTAGATTCCTCTGTAATAATAAAAATAATTTATACTAAAGACAGTAATGTTAAATATATTGATAATGATATTGAATTGATTTTTAATTTACCATCTGTATTTGTAAGAGTAAACACTGTATCTAAATTTATACCACATTTTTCTCCAATTTTATTTACTAATTCCGCATTATTTACAGGATATACTGCTAAATGATCACCAGTTTCATATCGCATTTTTGATCCCTCTATATCAAATTCTATGTGCATACATGATCTATCTGAAGTTGAACTATGAAGTTCACGATTCATTTTTACTGGAGCTAGGAAAGGATTTTTTGCATCAAATGGTCTATAAAAATAGAAATAATTTTATAATTTATATATTTTAATATAACTCCAATATAAACAAATAAAAAAACATACGCTCTCTGATTCTTAAATGAATGAAGACGAGCTATTTCACCAGTATAAATGCGTTCAATTGATAAATCGACGTGTTCTGTTAATTTGTACTGTCTAATACTAACATCTTCCCCTGCACCTTCAATTCCAAAGAATTCACAAACTGTTGGCCAAAATTTATCTTTCCATGTGATAAAATCATCTTCTATACTATAATATATATATAAAATATATAATTATATATATAATATAATAAATATTTTATTTTATGAAATATTTTATTTACATTTATATTAAATTTTTAATATTTGACAAACTAATATAATAAACACATTTTTATTTTATACTAAATATTTCAAAATAAAAATGATGAAAATATATGTAATAAAATTCTATAAACTTACTTGGCATCATCATCTCCTAAACCAAGTTCAAAGACACGAGTAGCACCAAGTTGTTCTAATCTATGATCAACATATAAAGCTATCTCATTATAATGTTCATATGTTTTATTTCCAAGACCAAATACCTGTAAAAAAAATATCATATATATAATAAGTAAATATATTTTTTTTCATATATATAAAACAATTTCAATTTTCAAAAAAAAAATAATTCAATAAAAAATTTAAATTAACTATGATATATAATAAATTTTTTATCTATTGATTTCATTAATTATTAATAAAATAGATTAAGTTCAAAAAATTTTAAATAAAATATTTATAAAATTTATTATTTATAAAAATGTAAATATTGATCCAAATATATAAATTTTGATCATATATACCTCAAACATTGGCGCTAAAAATAATGTTGTAAAATGCCGTTGGATAGCGCTATTGTATCTATGATGCTTAATCATTACACGCAGCAATTTATCAAACTTTTTTATATTCATTGTTTAAATATTTTTTAACAAATATTTTAAGATTTCTAAGATTTAAAAATGATGAAAATATGTATTTTTTTGTTATATTTACAATTATGTAATAATTACAATAATTATTTTTTACAATAAAAACATTTATATCATG